TTTTCATTATTTTCATTGCTATAATTTGTTGTATATATTATAGTAAAGTACTATATCTATTTACCTATACCTTATATCATAGATTCCCAACCAGGGTGCCGCAAACTTTATTTAGGGTTCCGCGAAATTATTTGAAATATATTTTTTAAGAAAAAACGATTTCATGAAAATAATAATAAAATAAAATAAAATATTTGTATATACTATATACCTACGTCTTTCTACTTTTGTTTATATTTATGCATTGCTGAATAAAACCGAAGTAGTCTATAGGCCCTATACTCTATAGACTATAGACTACTAAACCTAACCCTATACTATAGGGTGCCTCCGGATTTTTAGAAAATGATTAAAGGTGTCGTGAGTCAAAAAAGGTTGGGAACTTCTGCCTTATATATTTATTATTATAAGTACATTAATAAATAAAGAGGCTGACGCAAGAATTAAAACGTCGTAGGGTAGGCTAAAAAAGTATAATTTTTTTTTTTATTTAATAAATTAATAACCATGTAGATTTCACAACATAAAAATAAAAGTAGGTAGTACTTTAGCGGTTTTCTGTTGCCCTTCTACACCATGATTGGACGCATGGTAACCGTCGTTATTGGATTTGAAGTTTAAACCGCCGTCCCAGGATTCTATATTACCCTAAACAATTTTTTTCTCTCCAGTAAATATATCCTAAGTTATAGTTACTTGAGGACTGAGGAATATATATAAAAATATGCTAAAATATTTTAATATTCACTGGGGGTAAATATATTCTAGTATATTTTTACCCGCGATAACTTAAACCAGGGATATATTATTTACCTTGGTAAGGTGAAAATAATTATTGGAAATAAATATTGCCCGTTACACTAGTGACGCCGTGGCGGATATTAGACAGCCGAATGGCTGACACTGGTTCCTTCTATACTGTTGTCTGTTATGTAATAGTGCTAAACAAATATAATTATGATATGGAATATTTATTTCAATGATGAACTGATGAATGGTTAATGATTATGATAGAATTAAATACCTATATATAATATGTGTTCACAGATAATCAATTTGACGAATAGGCAAGGCTGTACTAGCCACTAGAACTGTAAGAGACAAAGTTACTAATCTAATCCGTCAGTAAAAGTGTATATATATATATATATATATATATATATATATATATATATATATATACATTTATACAGGGGTATGCCAAAAAATCGGGGGAAAAGGTGTCAATATTTTTACTAACACGTATTATTAGTATATTTATTTTACTAGATATTAATTTGGCATATTTACAATATTAATAGGTCAGATCGTGTCAAATCAATGGTAATATTCTATAATACTAGATAGATCGACAATGGATTACATAAACAACTCTGGTCTCTAACAAATGTTTGTAGTATAAAACTATAAACTATAAAATTTAAATTGTATACAAAAATATGCAATACATGCAATACTTTTTTACTATATTCGTTAAAATTTCAAAGGGGGGTTAAACACCTATTTTAATCATCTTTCCAATTGTACAAAGATCAAAATTTTATCTATAGTTAGGAGATATTATGATGGTTAAAATATTTATTAAAGGTAGCTAATTCAATAAGATTCTGAGAGGAATCTCGTTGAATAGACCTATTAATCTAACAATTATGTGTTTTTAAAACTCTTTTTTTTATTTGTAATCACTTTTTGGGATGGTCAAAACTTACATAACTTTGTTTTACATTTTTAAGTCTTTGCTATTAAAATTGAATTTTGTTGTTCATTTATAAATTTTTTTTTAATATTTTTGAGATAATTTGAGCCTAACTTTCCACATAACTTGTACCTGTTAGATTTTCAAACTTTTTAACCAAGTGTAAACATTTTTAAAGAAATGTATAAAATATAAAAATTTAATTGAAGCTTCAAATAAGTCATATTTTAATAACTATTTTGAATATAAAAAATATGGGAGCGATAAATCATTTCAGCGAAAAAGAGTCTTACATATAAATTTGCAAGTTTACCTTATTAGTTATTACTTATTCGTATGCTTTTACCTTCTACGACCGATATTGACATATTGCTGTTATTTACAATTAATTTTACCACAGTAATGTATGTGTTGCCGTGTAGGTAAATTTGTAAAATCTAATTTATACCTTATTAAAAATAGATGAACATTGAGTAAATTCGAGTTTTATGATGAATAACGATGTTCATAATAACATTTAGTAATAATTAATGTGTGATATTACCATGAGTTATTGTCGTATCATTTACTGAATTATCATTTTATAAATAATAACGTTTAAATATTTTACATAAATAGATTTGTGAAATTCAAGTAAAAAGTTAAACTAATGAGAAATATGCACCTATTTAATCGAGTTACACACCATTATCGATTTTTATCAAGTAATCAATGTACCCCCCACACCTACCTAGGAATACCAAATAAACTATTTCTCTACCTATTAATTATTCATATAAAAAATTAAGATATTATAATTAATAGGTAGATTCATAAAAATAGAGTAAGAATTATTAAACTACATGTACATAAAAAAAAGTGTTTTTTGAACCATAATAAGCAGAGTAGGTACAGTTAAAAAAAAAACTTACCCATTTTCAGTGTAATGATAGCCTTAAAGGTACTAATGTATTACTCAAAATATTAACAATGATTTTATTTATCAGTATTTTATACTAAAAATAGCACCGGTGAAACTCACTGTAAGTGAATACCCTATGTCGGCGAAACTCGCTGTATGTGAATACCCTAGGTCGGTAAAACCCGCTGTATGTGAATACCCTAGGTAGCTGAAAATCATTTTAAGTGAATTTCCTAGGCCGGAGACAGAATATTAAAATACCGCAGTTAGAAAAGTCTAGTAGGCGAAACCAGTGATAACGACGTTTGAAACGTTGGTACTTCTGAGTTCTGATTTGGTGACTACACTTTGGCGGTGTCGTTTTAAACGCGTAAATAATAATAAAAGTATATAAAAGTCCAATTCGAGCGTGTAGTAGTCGGTCATTTCATTAAATTCTCGAGTTTAATACACCTTTTCCGGCTTGTCCGGAAGCTTGCCCGGTGCCTTTGCGTATGGGAAATAAATAAATACAACTCCGAAATGGTAATTATATGTCTAGCTATCAGTTATCGTCCAGTGAACATCGATTCTTGGCCGGGCAATCCGCCTACGGTTTGATATACCTTCTGACGTCGAAGGCGTTGTGCTGTTCAGGACGTAAAAAAGTTTAAGTCGAATTGAGGGCTTGATTTTCAAGCGATCATTATTGAAAATTCAGTTAAACGCGTTTAAACCTACCAGGTAGGCGACCGCCGACCAGACTGCGTCGGATCGCAGACAATGTGGGTGTAAAGGGGGAGATTTTAAATGTATTATGGAAAATACATTTCAAACGTTAGCAAGTCGTGGTAAATAGTGAGTTAAAGATCATAAAACTATATATATTTAATATTTTTTATGATATTTTATAGTTAGATATCAAAAAGTAATATACATTTTCCGTGATAACAAAAATTACAATTAATTAACAAAATTATTAAAAATCAAAAAAATCTGTTTCTGTAATATATATAAGAATTTGTTAAACTCGACACATGTCAACAATCGTACGCACGTTTTTTTTTTTTTTATACACAATCGTATTTTATACGCTATCGAGACAGTACTGATGAGGTCGTGGAGGTGTCCGAGTGTTCAGACACCGAATACAAAACAACACGTATTCAATACGGATAAATAATTTATTAAATCGTAAAAAAAAAATACAATAGTATAAGTGACGATAGGATAACCGACCGAAGAACACACCGCGGGTACTCCGGTTTTCCGCACGCGACGGCGACGGATAGGTACGAATGGGATTTGGGGACAGATGGCACGCGCGGAAGCGAAAAAGGCAAAACCGACTCGCGCCGAGAGAAAAACCAGAAAAAAACGTCGATGTTATCGCTACGGCTGCGGCCGAGGACCGAATCCGTACGAAAAACGCACACAGAAAAAACGAAAAAGACACGCTCTACGCAACGGAAAAAGGTCTCTAAAGACTGGAAAATCGGGCGAAAAGCGAAAAAAACAGTATAATAATAGTATTAAAGACAACCGCAACGATAATGGGCCGTCGGCGGCGGCGGAAAATAACGACGGTGAGACATAAGGATAGAAAAAATCTAATTTTCTGATTGGGCAGTTCACTATACAGAAAAAAGCGAACTATTTTTCGTTTTATATTATAAAAAAAAGAAGTGGAATCTGAGGAATACATGATGTTTGGTTGTTAAATACCTACCTAATATAATAATATAAGTAATATTATTAAGTACTCATAGTATTGTACATAATAATATGGTAATACAATATATATATATATATATATATATATATATATATATATATATATTACATACTACTTAGTATAAATACATACATTATGTCACTAAGATCTATGCATTTTTGTTATAAATTATTTATGCACAACACACATGTAGCTTACTCTCTATAATACCTACTATTAAAGTAAAATTCTATTAAATTATTATACTAAATGAAAAACTATTTGAACGCTAAACCCCTAAACTACAATGAAGCCTTAGAGGTTTATTAATAATTTCTATTATACTGTATAAATGTTTAGCAGCAAAATAATTAAAAGTAAATAATTTAATTCATGATATTTGCATATAAATAAAAAATAAGCATTTAGCTAAATATAAAAAGAATGTATAATTTTTTCTAAAATGTTCCTTTAAAATAGAGTATTTTATACTTATTTTAATTTATGGCACAAAATGTCATATTGTCATGCCTTATAATGAATTAAATATATTCTAAAATATTTTAATAAATTAAACTTACTCATCAGATAATAAATAATAAATAAACACTCGTAATAGTACTTTATAGGTACTCATATTTATTTTTGAACTTAAAATTATTTAAATGACAAAATTTAACTATTAGACAATTTTGTTTTTACAGATAAATTATAAAACAATAAATGTGTAATATTATATATAAAAAGAGGGTTTAAATTAAACCCAAAGTTGAAGACCACTATAAGCTAGACATAAAATTTGATGGTCGGTCGCAATATCTAATAGACAATCAATCTAAACATAAAAAAAAATAAAGGTAATAATTAGTTGAATAGTAATTATTTTTATTTTTAAGTTTTAACTTATCAATGTACTTAATATAAAATACATAGAGATGTATTTAGACATAATATTAAATAAAAATATTTAAATTAATTTAGTTTCTTTTATATTTTATTATACCTGTTGATTATGAGTAATATTACATTTTTGTAGTTTTGACCTTTTGAATATATTGTTTTGAGAATCACTTTTAAGTATATTAAGCAATGCTTTTTTATAATCATTAGGTATACAAGAAATTTCAAGCTCACGGCATAATATTTCAATAGGATTAATTCCATTCAATTTATCTTTGCCAGAGAGTATTTTTTGTTTAGGAAACCATTGTATTTCTTTTGAGTCAAATTCACCATTAATTCTTAAAGTTTCGGTTTTGGCTATTTTTGCCCAGTCTGCAGTAGGATCATTAATAAATACTTGCATCACAGACAGTATCATTTCTTGGTTATCAATTAAAGTTTTCAATGTATGCACCATTGTTTCACGAATAAAACCTTAAAATATTAATTGTATTTAATATTTTAAGAAATAATTAGAATAATATGTAAAATAATCTACACAAACCTGTTAAATTCAGTGGTGCCATTAAAGAAACAATATGAGGGGACATTCTGAACGGTATCAATTCAGGTATAACTTGTATACTAGTTGCTGTATGAAAAGCAAAATTAAAATCAATTCCTAAAAAAAAGTTAAATAAATTAATAAAATTGTTAATGTTTATAGTCGAGTTAAAATTATAACTAGTATTATATTACCCGTACAAAATCCTGTTTTTGTTGATACAATTGTATTGTCTAGATGTCTATCACCAATTCCCAATAACCAATGACAAATTGAAAGTACTGAGAAACTGGTTATAAATTTCGATCTCAAGCAAATATACATCTCAGCATAATGGCATAAATTTAACAAAGATTTCCTTTAAATAAATTACTGTTTTAACATTATGTAAAGTTATCACAATTATATCCATAAAAATAAAGTTAAGACATTTTTAAGTTAGTGTATAATTTCACAAAAAACAATAGAAACATAATTAGTATTTTACATCTAAATTCACAGAAAAATTAAGAAAACACTAACTTGCATTTTTTATCTTTGTAAAAGTAACATAATAAATATTTTTAAGAAGTTCACATTTAGATTTTTTATTTTTTATTTTTAATATTAAATTGAATTGACCAATCATTAAATCTAAAGCTAAGTTTGTTAAGAACACCTTTAAATTTCATGATTTATTTTAATTTTAAAATTAACAAAAGTAAATGTAAAATGCTGATATGGTTCTTTTTAATACATTAGCACTGTCATCAGTCATTTATCACTAAAAATACATGAATATATAGTCAACAAGTCAAAATTTTAAGTACTTTTAACTTTAAAGACTAGTTACATTAATTTATTTCCTAGTTTATCTGTTTTTAGTGCTTGATATTAAACATTAAAAAATGCAGCATTATATTATTATATTCCTCAAATGTATACAAGAACTAAGAAATGGTATATTTTTCTATATTTTAAATTAATAAAAGGCAATATGTATATAATATATTTATTATTAAATACAAAAATATAAACTACAGTTTGTGTAAAAAATATAACTAACTTGTCGCGAATAAAATATAACTATTGAAGCATTTCAAACTATAGCTAGAATAACAAAAAATAAACAAAGTATAATAGTTCCAACAGTAATATTTTTTGATCATTATTCAGTATAAAATAAAATTTGTTATAAAAAAACTAAAAAACCTATGACCATAAGTGACCAGTCACATATTATAAATGTAATTTATATTTTAGAATTGTATACATTTATATGTTTAGCAAAAGTGTACAAAAGTAGGTACATGAAAACACTCCAAGATTAGTTTATCAAATAGTAAGAAACTATTAGCAAAACTCTTTTGTAGAACATAGTAACAATATTTATTATAGTACCTTAATATATCAGCAGGGATTGATTGGACAAGCTGTTTGAATTTTGCTACAGTAACCATGCTATTATAATTTATAGTTGCTTGTGTATAGACAGTCAATTTATTTAATGAATCAGACTTTTCAGACAACCAACGGTAATGTTCAACAACTTTTGAATGTCTATAAACAATATAGTTTAAACTTTAATAATTAATAATATTTTGTAGTCATTATAAGAAGTACTAACAATTGTTCTATTCCAGAATCTTTACCACCAGGAAATGATTCACAAATAAAATCTTTTAATGTGACTGTGTTATTAATCCATTCAATCATACCCAATTTTGTTGTTATTGGAAACACCTGAAATAGTAATTTTTTAATTCTTCCAAACTTCTAAAAACATATGTAACAAGAATAAAATATCTTACTATATAATTAGAAAGTGACAGTTGTCTCTCACAACAATATGAATTGTTTAACAATGTATCATTTATTACTTTATGTAATTGTTGAATTCGTTGATCTTGCCTTAGATCTTCACCAAATTTAATCAAGAAACTATATTTTTTTCCATTATTTCCAATCATTGTAATTTTAATAGGATTTCTCATTGAAAAAATTACTTGTACCTTAATTTATAAAACAATATTTAGATCATTTTTATTATAAAATACATTTAAGAATTTTACATTTGGTTTAAATGATGTGATAGTAATATGATTATCAATATTGGGTTTTCTTGTTCCACAATACTGTCCTGGAATTTCAATTGTGTCTATATTATGATTAGAATACAGAGCTAGCCATGGACAATAATTTATTAAATTAGTAGACAACTTTCTATTATAGTATTCATTTTTATGAGTATCTATTTGTTTTTTAATTGTTATTAATGCCATACAAACATCATTTAGATTGGAATAAGATGATTTTAATTTGTCTGTAAATATAAATAAAATTGCAAGTAAGCATTAAGCAAAGTAATATTAAAATTTAAATATTCAATGGTAATTTACCAAAAATTGATTCGAGTTCATTTTTAAATATATCTAATGTTTTAAATTCTTTTCCTTTAAATTGTTGATTTTCTTTAGTTATAAAGCAATTCTTAAGCATAATTTCAAACACTAATATAATCAAACTCAAATTATTTGTTTTTATACTCTCTTGAACATCATTTATGTATTCAAGGAGCTGAGTAAATGGACAACAAACATTACTTATAGCTTTTATAAACATGTCTATATAAATATCAGATATTAATGGAACAAGTCTGTAAAATAAAATGAATATAAGTTAGTATTATTTTTCATTAAAAAAAATCTGTGATAATAAATTTTAAGCATAAATTAGAAACAACTTAAAATAAATTAAATAATGTAAAATGATAAAAAATGTATAAAGAAAAGAATACACTAAACTATGGTTAAATAATAATAAATGCATAAACATACTTAGTTTTTAAGAATGTTTCACACTCTTCATTTTTGTACACATTTCTTTCCATAAAAATTTTCAAAGGAAACTGAATAGCCTTAGGATATACTTGACACAAACGAATTAAAAGTGGACTAATGACATCAATTAAAGGAGAGTCCAAGCAACCTAAAATCTGATTTATCCACTGTAGGAACATATACTCAGGAACATTTTGATTCTATACATAAAACCAGTATTATTAAATAGTATTCAGCACCAAGTTAGGTATATAAAATACTTCTGAAATGAATGTTTCTTTCAACGGATAGTTAGAGAGATCTTCAAACTGTAATATAATAGGAAATAATTCTGAAGCTTTTTTAGAACCATATTTCATTGCTTTTAAAACAGATTCTATAAATACCATACATTTCTGATTGTTTTTAATGTTTTCTGTAAGTATACAATAAAGGTGTACATAATTTATTATATACAAAATATGTTTTTTTTTTTAACATATCAATGTGTTAAAATTAAATTAATATTGAACTATTTATACTCCTGTTTATCTTAATTAAATGACTATATCTATAGCCAATATTAAACTAAAATATTTGATTGATATGACTAAAATGAATTATTTTAATCATAATGTTAGTTGTTACCTACTAACTGTATATAATATGTAACATGTACCTTTAAAATTTAATTCCTCTAAACAATATTGTGCTAATATTATATAAGAATCTACAATTGTTTCAGTACATAAATTACTATTTAAAGCAATATGTATGCAATTTTTTAAATTATGTATGATAATACAGTCAATTTGTTGTAAGACTTCATTAAGACTTCTGTAAATAAAATCAATGTTAATAAAATAACAATAAAACAAAAAATATTAAATGTTAATGAAAATAACTTACTCAAATTGTATATTGCTTTTTATTTTACTCATTATTTCTGATAATACATTATTTGATAATAAATTAATATCTGATATTTCATCTAAAATATGAGCTATATTTTTAGAAATATTTACAATATGAAAATTAATTTTTAATAAACAAACTTTAGAACACTGTTCTTTGATGATATTATCTAAAATTAAAAAACAATAAATTTATATACTTGATATAATGTATTAACTATTAAGCTACTTGGTTATAACAAATATTACCTAATTCTGACCAAGAATTTAAATAGTATTTAAGTTTTTTTTCTGTATCAATTGTATAACAACTAGACATTGCTAATATTTTACTACGACAAAGTACATAATTTGATGTCCAATTTTCAATATTCTGAAATAAATTTATATTTAAAACATAATTTTGAATAATTGTTTGAAAAAGTTTACTTCAAATCTAAATTCATTCATGTATTTTTTAGCAAAATAAAAATTATTTTTATTTATAGCACTTTCAATTAGAGTTAACAATGACTTCACTTCATAATTGTTTAAAATTTGTTTTAAACAACATTTTTCTTCTGATGGTAATACATATTCTATATCTGTGTTGATCTTATTTAAGAAAATTGATCTGTTAAATAAATGTAATTTAGTTACCACTATTTAATAATTAAATATATTAAACTTATTAAATCATAACCTGTTGAGTAATTTGGTATCCCACAATAATAATGAGTCAGAATTTATAGGCAGTTGTGATTGCCAAATTTGAATTTGTCTTCTAATAATTTTGGTATAATCATTAGATTTAATTGAAGATGATTTTATGAAATACTAAAAAATATATTATAAATTTATAATCAACATTAAATTAATAAATAATCTCACATAGATTTCTGAAAGTGTTTGTAAATTTAACAATTTACTAGCTCGTAGCTTATAATATTGAGGTGATATATTTTCCCATTCTTTAAGAAAATTACGCATTCCAAGTTTACACCATAGTTGTGCTTTATTTAAATCATCACAACATAAAAATATCATACAAGCTTGAGCTGGTACACATGTCTATAACATTAAAAAAAAAAGGTACCTAATTTTTAATTGTTAATTATAAAAATACATTAATGATACATAACAAAGATGCATATTATAAAAAATATATTACTAATATATATTCTTCTTTATGTTTGTCATTTAACCAATTGCTAAATGTCTCAATAAATTTATCATTATACGTGCCATTAAGTATTTCATTTAATTCTGATTGTAAAATTCTATGCAAAAGATGATTTTTGTACCTATAATTTTATGAAAAAAATAAATAAATAGATAGAATATTTTAAAACTTATATTTACAATTTTTATTATATTTATTATTATTTTTACAAGGTATATATTGAAAAAATTAACTAAAATGAAATAATTTAATCCTTACCAATTATTGTCCCAAATTCTTTCATAACTTTCTCCTGTTTGAGATTTTAACATTTTTTTGATTTCTTTCCAGTCAGATAAATTTTCTGAGCACTTAATTAAAAAATAAAAAATAACAATTATTATGCTGTGATTAATTATTAAAATCATTTAATACTTTATAATATTCTTCAAACAAAAAATCTTTATCACTTTCTGAAATTAAATTTTCATCATTACATTCTAATACTGATTTAAACTTTATTTGAGCCATTCGCCAATCTTGAGATTGTTCAGCTTTCAATGCCTCTTTTAATGAATCACATGATAAATTATTAACTTTTTCCTGAAATATACCTTCAACAACATCCAATTCACCCATATTTTTGTATATCCTTTGAAAAAATAAAATGTTAATTATTTGATTATGTAAAAAAAAATTGTATAATATACTCTGCTAATTTTATCCAATTGTCATCTAGGCATTTATAAGTAATTTTAGATTTCTTTTCAATGTGTAAATCAACTTGTGTTGATTGTAAATAATTTATTGATGTTTCTATAACTAATGCTCCTAATGACATTAAGCCACACGATGTTGCGACTAAAGAATAAGATATAAATGTTAAAAATAATTATTCTTAATGATAGAAAATACACTTACCTTCAGTTACTTTATTTGGATCTAAATTAATTTGAGTGGGATAACAGCATGCTGTATCTAAAATAAATCCCGTAAGACTATGATTACCATGACTATGATTTAACATAGTAATTAAAGATTTATTTAAACTTTCAAAATATTGCTCATTAACTTTTGGATTATTTTTCAATCCATACATGATTGATGAAGAAATTATCCTTGCTATATTATTATCCCTCTGAAAAATTAGTATTTAAAATTAATTTTTAAACTATTTATTAATGATAAAGGACAATTACATTACGAAAATATAAATTATTAATAATAATAATAATAATACATAAATTGATTAATTAGAAACAAGCTGTTAAAAGACACACATTTTTAAATATATATAATTTACTATAATTTTATTTTTATAATAAAAATTGAATACTTATTTAATAAAAAGTAAAACAAATGTATGATATATAAAATTATGTTTAAAAATATCAGTGTATTTTTTGTTACTTATTCTGTGTATTTAAATAAAAATTTAACGCAAATTTCCCTGACATAATATTGCTTTCTTAATGGAAACTGTGTAACATCTGGATCAAGATTATACTCAATGATACTTACTTTGGATAATTCAATCAATGGCTTAATTACAGAAGCATTTGAAATTTCAATATCAGGAAAATCTCCAATCCTATATTTTCTATATGTGTTAACAGATGATTCACGTTTTTGTGCTCTTTCTTTCTTAAATATTTCACGTTTAACATTTGTTTGTATATTTTTTACTGCAAAATGTTTACTTAACATTGATTTGTTACGCAATATACGATTATTTTTTTTTTGTATAAAATGTGATTCTGAATTTAGTATATTATCTACAAAATAATATTTAAGTATTATAAAATAAAAAATAAACATTTTATATAACATTATACTATGTAATAAATTATGTATTAAAATATAGAAAGAATAAAAATATACCTAAATTTTGATTCCAGCTTTGTTGATTTACACCTAACGTAGATATGTTTATTTCATCTGATGGCATTTGAGAATAAGACTTTAGAATTGAAATACTATCAGTTAGTTGAGTTTGAATTATAGTTGGTTGAAATTGTAAAGTCATTGTATTTTTTATTTGGAATTTTTCCTTGATATTAGATTCAGAATTTCCAAGTGTATTCGAACGGTTAAGTTGGCTAACAATAGTGTCAGCAAATTTAGGAAAAGTAGATGTATGTTTTGCACGCCATGTTGTAGTTAAATTATAATCTTCAAATTTACAAGCATGTAGAGGATATTGAAATATATTTTGATTATAATCTAAAGCTGTACAACATGATTCTAGTAGTATGCTAACAAAATTTCCTAAAAAATGTGATTCAATATCTGGTGAGTAAAGTTGATCCAAAAGAATTAGTAAACGATCAACACATTTCAATGGTAATCTCTTATCATCTGCCCAAAATCTAATTAGTAAATAATAAAAAATGATTAATTTAGTAATGGTTATCTAGTATTATTAATGTTTTTTACAACCTAAATACTTTATGTCGAAGTTCATCATCATTATCCATAAGACCATTTAATAAGACCATTTTACATTGTTCCGTAATTTGTTTTGAAGTATTAGTATTATTTCCTCTATAAAATTTAAATAGATGCCATAAATAAATATTACTAATAATGATATTTTTTTTTTTCTTTTAAATAATAAATCTTTAACTTACAAGTAAATTTCATATGTAACATACATTATTTCATAAATCAACTTTCTATGATCATTATTTTTTTGTTGTGAAATTTCAGCAATTATTTTTATTAATATTATTAGATTTTCAGCATGAATAGTTGGTATAAGTTGTAGTACAATTTTCAAACATATTAGTTGATTATCAGTTCCACTAAATATTAGTTACAATACTATTAATATTTTGTATTTTCAATTTATGAATTAAACATTTTTTACAACAATATAAGTTATATAAAATAAATTTTATCAATCAAAATTTTTAGTACAATCATACATAATTTTTAAAATGTTAATACATACTTGTCTTTTAACATGTTGAAAAAATCATTTAGTTGTGTTATTTTTTCATATGAATTATTTATTATGGTCAATCTATTTAGAATCATTTCTAAACATTGAGTTCTATGAATACCTTGTAATTTTTCAAAAATATGAAACAAATCATCCAAATAACTTAAACAAAATTTAAATAAAAAAGATCAAAAATGAAAACATCTATTATGTTTTAAATGTTATTCAAAAATATTTTTTTAATAAAATTAATTTCTTATTTATATTTACTAAAAAAGAGTGGTGGTTAAAATAAGAACTATAATATAATAATACAAATATTTATTACCTGTCAATAATCTTCGGGTAATGTTTATGTGTATAATACAAACAACTTAAAACTTTTGTAATATCTACGCTTTCAGAAAATTTTAAAACTGAGGACAGACACTGTAGTAACTCCGTTTCATTTAATGAATTTTCATAATAGATCCTTTAAAAAAATAATACATTTATAAAATCAAATATCATATAATATTATTTATAGTACAGAATCTAGCAAAAAATCTCCCATATTTAAGGTGTATATATGTGTCAACAATGGAGGATGATTATCTTATCAAACAAAGTATTTAAAACTAAGCAATATAAAATAAATAACATAATATAATCACAAATAAAAAGATTTATTTGTATCTTTTTGAAAAACAGGAAAAATTTTTGCTGGACCCTGTATAATAATTTTTATAATTTTACTTTAATAGCATTCCAAATATCTCTGAACTAAGCACATAAATCACTTGATTATTATGTCTTAAGTTTTCTGTAAGCAAACTCAAAAAACTAGAAAACAAAAATTAATTAAAAACAATAAATTATAATAAAAACAAAATTGATTAACATAATAAAATTACATTTTTTTATTAAATTCATTGAATGGTGTAATACCATTGGTAGATAAAATTCCAATTAAATGTAAGCCACATTCTAATAATTTGTTACTTATTTTATTTGGTTTAATTAAAGATAAAAGTTCATCATAATCCATTTCTAGTGAACATTTCCAATTTTCAACGATAAATCTACAAAAAGATACATAATGTAATTTTATTTTAAACTTCTCTACAATAGATAACTCTATATTCTTCATCAGTGTTTATTAATTAACAGATTTATTGTTATGAAATATTTAAATAAGTATAAACTAAATAATTTTGGTTTTTAATAGATGACCCATATGTTTGTATACATATTAAAAATGAAATATGACATAGTTAAATGTATAATCATAACTTTTCACGAATCTATTAGGTCTGTGAAGTTGGTCGTTCAATTTCAAAATTTTTAACACAAACTTTCTGCATAATTAGTAAGTCATTTATTACTATTTATAAGTTCAGTTGTTTTAAATTATTCTTAAAAGTTTATATCACACAGCTAACTTTTATAAACTTAATCGGTTTGTCATTTCCAAGTTTTTGACTTAAACAAAATAATGTGCATAATTTTTAAGTATCTACTTATAACCATAAATTAAAACAATCAGATCAACAATTTTTATATAGAACAATTAAGTTTTATTATGAGTAATTAATGGAAGGATAAATTATAAAATTTTAATTGTATTTACAAATTACTCATGATATTTAATTAGGAAATGATAAAACAGCCAGATTTTACTGAGGTTAGTTGTAATTTAGACTTAAATGGATAATTTAAAATATCTGAACTTCTACATTTCTGATTTCAGAGACTTACAATAAAATTAACAGACTAAGCACTGAGAAAACTTTAATTAAAAATGTATAAATTGGGTGACCAACTATATAGACTTGTATTTACTATCTATTATATTATTTAATATAATTGGTTAAAAATAATAGACATTGTTATTTATTTATTTATTTTTTTTTTTTTTTTTTTTTTTTAGCATATGGCGCTTATGTCCAGGAGTAGGCCCGAAGGCCTAGTTCGGACGCCTATTTGGCAGAATTTTTAGTGGGCACCCGTAGGTTTCTGCCATGCCCGGGTGGGGGGCGGCGGCTTCTCTCTCCAGACACCGTGACTGCCTGAAGAGTGACGCCGCCCGTGACCGAGATTCGAACTGGCGACGGTGCGCGACGCAACCGCCGCCTTAGTCCGCTCGGCCACTTCACCCCCACTGTTATTTATTAATATTATAATACAAATTAGGTTAATTTAAATCAATTTTTACAGAATAAATATATTTACTTAATGAATTCCATGTTATGCTTAAATATATTTTTTACTTCACTATGAGAAACTGACAAAAGAAAAGAAAACAGCTTTTTAGCAAGAAGTTTTTCATCTTCTGTGGAAGGAACTGCAGTATTATGCCACGAAACAAGCATTGATACCTATAAAAATTAATTTTTTAATAAATTCATAAAACGTATTAATAATATAAATAAAATTATTTATTCAAATAGGTATTACCACATCAGTTATAAAATAATTTAAATTATTTCCGAGATGTTTATCTAACACAAATTGCATTAATGGACTAAACCAGTGTTTTGCATATGGTTCAAAATTAGTTTCACAATTAATAATCAATTTTATAAGTAATATTTTTGAATTTATTGTGTCTGTTGAATTATCACAGAATACTAATTTTAAATTATTCATCCAATTTGGCATATCCATGTTAGGCTAAAATAGATAAAATAGAATCTTAATAATTAAATTTATAAATATAAATACCTATCAATAAGAAATAATATTTTCTAATAAATTATCCAATGATTTTGAAAAATATTTATGTTAGTAATAAGTAATAATTGTTTATTTTAAGTAAGTAACATTTTTAATGTTTTAGATAATGAAAGGAACTATTAAGATATTAGAGAAAAAGTAAAAATTAAGCTTAATATAATCTAATAATTATATAAAAATACGACAATTACTTTCTTTGTAGTGCCAATTAGGTTTTCTGAAGTTAAGTATTTTATAACAGCACACAAATGAGCCATACATTCGTGATTATTAAAGCTATCCATTTCTAGTTCGACACTTAACATTTGATTAAATGATTGAGACTAATAACAAATATAAAAATGTTTCAATTTTAAAAAGTATACATTAGTTTTTTTTTAAATTTTATTTTAATACATTAGATATTGAACAATCTTTTATGAAGTTTGATCTTAAATAAGAACTATTATAATCATAGCTTCCTAAATCTTCAATAAGTGTATTTTTTAGATGACTGCTCAAATCGATATATACTTCAGGTATATTCTGAATGGATTTAGTCCTTATGTTAATTAGTTTTTTTTTCCACTGTGGTATCTAAAAAAATAAAATTAACATATTTTACTTTTTAAATAATCTTAATATAAAAAATATGTGAACACTTATATAAATAATTCCATTCATTATAATACCATTTCAAAGTCTATAGGAAATTCATAGCATTTAGAACAATCTACTAAATTTCTCCAAATAAATTGTTTTGTTGGACGCTCATTAAACAAAAATATTGTGTATTTATTAACATCATCCTCAGTGTTGCTAATAATAGTTATAAGCGTGTTATATGAATAACAATGTAACTGTCTAAATAATTGTTTTATTTCATTTGATCCTTTAGTGTAATCAACATTACTATAACGAACTTTCACTGCACTACGGAAACAAATATAAGTTAATATAGTTTAGTTTTTGATATTATTACATAAACAAAGTACAAAATAATCTTACGAAGTTCTAAACTGAGTTATCAAATCTTTAGATTGGCTTCCGTTATATGTGTATGGTATTTTTTTAAGTTCTATGTTGGTAAAAAACTTGAACATTTCTTCTATAAGTTTAAAACAAGCTATTTTTGATATTAATAAATGCCGTGCCTAAAATAAAAATAGCAATATTTAAGCACATTAAATTTAAATTTAAATGCAAATACTTTTCATATTAAATCCAAGAGAATAATATAAGAGTATTTATTTGTTTTAAATGAAGGTTAGTCAAATATTTTGAAATTATCATAAAAATAAATATACTGAATTTATTAAACAACACTCATTATTATAAAATCTATTAACATTTTTGAAAAACATTTTTTACTTAATATACTGTTAAAATAAAACATTTTAAATTTTTTATGTTTTTGAATGATAACATACATTTTTAATTTTATATTCTAAAACAGAAGTATTTTCAGAGTAATTTAATATACAAAAATCAAAATTCGAACTAGTAGTTAATAAATTACCAGATTAAATGAGCGGAGTAGTGAGCTACAAGATTTATTCACAAAATGTTAGTCTACAATTTCACTTATCAAAACTTTAAATATTTATAAAACTATAAGTTATAGCCTATAACTCATAAATTACTCATCTAAATTTCGATTTGAAATATTCCGAAAAACATTCTACATCTGAATATGAAATTATAGAATATTTAATATGTATGTTGTCTTCAAAAAAATAAAAAATTATAATAATAAGTTTTAGTTTTATTTTGACTGTAAATTATGTAAAAAAATATTTTTAAAAACAATTAGTCTTTTTAATAATGATTATTGTTGGGTAAAAGAATTGCTTTGAATAAGTAGCAATGATATAAACATTAATGAATGTTAATCTAAGCTATAGTTTCTAATTGTTATTTGAATAATTTAACAATTTTATCATTAACTATAATGTTAAGCATTACTTTTCCACTGTCATTTGCTAAAAGATTTTCATTTACGGTCTTCAAAATAAAATCAATTATGTCTGTATAAAATTTGGTGATCACATTTCTCGTACAAAAAGATATTATAGGGATTAAAAAAATATTTACAATCATTTCTCTCCTACTTTCAGAAATAAATTCATTTTGAAACTTTTTATACACAAAATTACAACATAGAAGTTGAGTTTCATCAGATAGTCTGAAATCAAAAAAATACAATTGATAATAAACTATTAGAAGATACAAATATGAATAATACTAAGGTTTTTAAATAATTTTCTTAAATTACTGTAAAATAAGTTTAATTAATTAATTTTTATCAAAATGCTATTGCTTAGTAGAACTTTTAATTTATGAAAATAAACATTATACAGATAATGTAGATTACAATATTAAACGCAATTCAAAATCTTTAAAACTATTAATTTAAGAAGTTTTATAATTATCTGTGTAACACAATTAAAAATTAATACCAAAAAATGGCATTTTATATAAATTATACCAAACCTTTGAAGGTTTTCATCAATTTTCTTAGTTGTAAAACATGAATATAAAATAATTTCAAAAATTAAAATTTTAGGTAAAACATAAGTAAAAAGGATTCTTTGAACTATAACTAGCAATATTTGTTGGGGTTAAATAGATTTTAACTTCAAACTAATAAAATTTCTGTTTTCAATGTAAGATAAAGAATAATTATTAAAATTACCTTTGAAAAAAATGATGCAAACAATTTTCTACTCGTTCAATAATTACATGGTTGGGATCTTTAATACACCATTCAACTATTACTTCAAATAATATATATGAAGAACTTAACTCCATAGCAGTTAAGATTTTTTGAAATGTAGTTACTATATTAGTAATATTAAAACTATGAGGATTTAATTTTGACAAAGTTCCAGAAAAATGTTTATCTCTTAAGTCCATTAGACATTTTCTAAAAAAAAAAAAATATCTTAACAATTAATTTTATTAATATAAAAGATAGGTATAACATGAAGTGAAAATTACAATTATACTACCTAATAGTACAATCAAGATTTTCTTTATAATTTTGATTTGAAACCAATTTTGGTAAAAATCCCAGAAGTCGGCATTTATGATAAATATTTAAATTGTTATTAGTTAAATGCTCACAAATCCATCGTTGAAAAAATTGCATGTTTTCATTTCTAAAATGATCAACTATATTAGATGATAATTCCACAAACTCAAATAATTCATTCCAAGTAAATTGTTTTTTAAATTCTTCACAGAACTGTCTATTGTTTACAATTTTTTCAATTAGTAACTTTCCTTGGCCATTTCTAAATATTTACACAATAGTTATTAATAATTATTAATAGAACTAAATATAATATATAAATTACTTATTTTTATTATTAGATGATCTAAGAATTTCTAAGATCACATATAATATCTGATCATTTAATGGATATTCAGTAAGCAATTTAATAACAAAAATGTCAGGATTTTTCAAATAATACTTAGTTATTGGTTTACTAAACAAACTAAAAAAATACTGACTGAATAATTTATGTTTATATTTATTGGTGTCAATAATACAATTTGTATCCATGATTAATAATGTTATTATATCGTTCTAAAATAATAAAAACAAAATGTGTAAGAATCATTACAATTTATAATTGAATAGATTATTTTTTTAATGTACTTACCCCACAATCAAGATTTATTAAAAATTCTATCAAATTTTCAAAGTATGACAATCTAGTTGACTCAAGTATTACAATTACTCCATCATTATATACATATTTAAATACATTTTCAAGAATATATTTTCGATTCACAATTTTTTCAAGATCCTATAAATATTAAGTATAGTAATTAAAATAAACATATCTTGATTTATTCTGTTTAAATGAATATTTATGTTAACAGTTTAAATAAAAACCAGTTTATTCACCAGAGTTGAAAATATATTGCATTCAAGGATCAACTGATTTACAGCAATAAAATTTCTTTTAAATGTAAATTCAGTTAATGTATTGAAATTCAATTCAATTTTAGACCAATTTTTTGAAAGATGTTGTTTCAATTTGTTATTAAATTTATTTGAAATATACGGTATCTTAATATATTGAAGTATCACTAGTTTATGTTGATTTAATTTTTCATCAGAATAAACCATTTCACAATCAAAAAGATATCTTAAAAAAAACATATTGGATTAATTAATACAAAAATTAAAACATAACATCTAAGAATTTTTTTAAAATAATACAGTTTTCGTAGCTTATCTTAATAAGCATATTATAGACTAGTCATTTTCAAATTATCGGGACTTGCAATCTCTTAAGTTATTATTTTTTTTATATACAAGCTTTTTGTTTAAAAAATAAACTTATTGATAATTACTGATTTATGTGTGAAAAAATAGACCAATTTGAAATTATTAAATATATATCAACATGTATCTGGATCTAATAAATCCTAAATTTAGTTACAACTTGTTAATTGAAGAATAATGGTATAAACTGATACATGATCATAGAATAATTTTATTATAAAACATATAAATTTATATTTAAATAATCTTATTGTACATTCAGTGCCTAACTATTAGTGTAAGATAGGCACATCAAACATAAAATATCAACTGAGCCAAAAATATTGAATAGATTACTATGTGGGCCACACAATAAGCTTATTGAATGAAAAAACATTTTATACAAATTTATAACAATTATTATTGTTAGGAAAGTATACATTATACATAATGAATACATCAAAATATATTTCTCTTTAACTTAGTTATAAAATAAAATAAAAATTGTATTTATTACATGGTACTTTTTTAAAGACGCATGCAAGTTGGTAATTATATCAATAATATTAGACAAATACATCCGATAACATAAATACAATTTTTATAAATATATATGTATAGATAATAGGCGTCAAATTATATATCATATTAGCTGATATTGACATAATAACAAATTATTTAATATGTATGCATTTAAGGAATTTTACCAGAATCTGAAATTAATGTAGTTTTACCGAATATATTGTTTTGACTAGAATCAATTTAGATGATACTGACTATAAATATAAATAATTATAAGTGTACATTGATCAATCAGCTTACAACTTGTGATGTCACTAATAAAGGTAGAGTTAGTTTTTTAGTTTATTAAATGTATTATATAAAATCTAGTAAATAAACATAAGTTATAGTAAAAATATAATTAATTTACTTGATAGCAAGATTATAAACTTTCTCGTGATTTTCATCATCCAATAATCCACTAATTAAATTATTTTCAAATGCATTTATGAATTGAAAAATACCAACTATAACATGGTTTTTTAAAGTATTAAAATATCTAGATTGAATAATAATATTTTTGTCACTTTCTTTGAATGGTATGTTTAAATAGATTAACCATTCCATTAAACTGAATTCTTCAATATGAAATAAAAACTGATGTATAGACTGAAACAAACTAATTTTTTTTTTTTTTTTTTGATTTAATATTTACTAAAAAAAAAAATATAAGTTCTAGTATTTAAAATTAAAAGTATTTTAGAAAATTAAGATAGAATACAAGAAAATTTTTTAAAAATTAGTATAATATAATAATTATAATAATAGGTACTCATGTTATATAACCACTCTTACCAGGAACAGGGATTTTTCAATACTATAATATCCATCATGCTTCTTTTAAAAAGTGATGTATAACAATCTAAAGTAGCAATAAGTTGATTCAACCAATGTATTAAAATGTTAATGTTTGTCAAAACATTAAATGAATTCAAATCTCGTTCAATACATTTAATTAATTCTTTTTCTCCGTGTGACATTATAAATGAATTTATAATACTTTTTAATGAATAGTGATCTATAAAAAATTTTAGATTACTAATAAAAATGTAAAATAATAATTTGTTATAAATTAAACAGATATTTCGTGATTTCATATTTTTAAAAATATTTAATATATTATATCATTTTATTATCATCTATAAAGACTTTATAAATTTATGAAGTAATGTTTTGTGCATAATATGTCAAAATAAAGCCAACATCAATGTAGTTAGATACAATTTACCTATACTCAATCTTGAAATACATTATTTTTGTAAAATGATTACATAAAAGTATTTCCATTTTTTATCTTTAAAACTTTTATACATAAAAAAGATTGTATAATAATTTTTAAAACATTTCAAAATATAACAATACAACATATTTTGTTCTACGAGATTAAAATTGTTTAAGTAAAATAATAATTTGTATTACCTTTTACATTCTTAGAAAGAGAATTAGCCATATTTAAACACTTTGACCTACAACTGGTCATTGGCGAACCAATATATCTTAAAAGCCATTCAACTACATTAAATAATTGAGTCCCAAGAAATGGTTTTGGTATTATTCGTGAAATACAAACCTATATTAAATTCCAAAAATTTAAATTAGTTTATAGTTCATATTATAATAATATAATTCTACATTACTTCATTAAATAAGTTAGATTTTTCTAAGAATACTCTTTGTAAATGATCTATAGATTTTAATACGTGTTGTTCTGAATTTGTTGATTTGGTTGAATCAAGTTTAACAATAAAATAATATAACAATTGAATCCACAATTCATCAATAATATTTTCATCTTCACGTAGTATAGAATAGCAAGAATTAAAGGCAATAGCAGCTCCTATATAAAATATACATAAATATATACATATTAGAATTTTATAGAATAAAGTTGCTTACAGGTCCATATATGACAAGCTACAATGAAAACCTCAGCAGGCTGTTCAAAATATGGGCCATTTATAAGTGTTTGATTTTAGTTTTATTTTTCATAATAATAATAAATTAGTATTAACATTAGAAGAAAATATAATTGAATCAAATTATTAAACCATTCAATAGCTGTAACTATAATCAAATATTAAAAATTTTATAATTCGGTCGACCTTGCCTATCTGGTGCTAATTACTTAGACTTTATACAAATCAACAAAACTCTTGCTTTTACAATGAAACAATTGTTTATAAATAACAATTAATATTAAATTTAAAGACATATTTTAATGATCACTATTGCTCATAAGTATATTGTATTTTAATAATCTCTTCAATTTGTTTTGATATAATTTATAATTTTTTGGATAAAAAAAAAATTTAAACTTTAAACGCAAGATTCATTTATAAAATATTTATATTTTTATTTTAAATTTTAAGAAACCAAAACTACAAATTATAGACAATATGGATATATACATTTTAAATAATGTACAAAGATAATTTTATATTCATTAATAATACAATTTACCTAGCTGTTTATTTGGATCAGAATGCAAACAAAAGGATTTAATTTTTTTTATAACAATACGCAAACTAATTGAAAGTTTTTGAGATAAATTGCTTTCTTTTAATGACCAACGTAAAAATTCCATAATACATTTTGCAGAAAAATCTCTAACTGCTTCATTGCTATTTTCTGATATACTATCCTGCAAATACATAAAAAGTAAAAATATTATTTTTTCAAACTAATCAGTCATTATTATTTATGCATAAATTATATAATAAAATGTAATCTGGCAAATAAGAAAGAATGTAATAGGTTAAAATATGCAACTAAGAGAAAATATACTACTAAATTAAACAGGTACCTACTCATCATCAGAGCAAAATTTAAAAACAAACTTTGTTAATAATGAAAAATTGAAAAACAAATTACTTAATTATCAACAAATGAAATGACAAAAGTTGAAAAAATTTGAATAACAAATGAGTAACTTTAACGTCTTTAACTATAAAAAATGTAATAAATTACAACTTATAATTATATAAAAATGATTAAAACATAAATATACTTTTTTATTTTTAAATGTTTAATATGTTAGTATAAGATAATTCAAATAATATGTCATCCAATCCTAAAATAAATAAAATTGTTTTTACCATTAATATATCAATAATAATAGGGGTATAAATGCTATTATACTGGATTCCACTTGCAAAATAATGCACAATCCCAATTGCTAAAGGTTCAAAAAGTTGTTGAATAAGATTATCCATATCACAAGCCAATTTTATAACTATTGGAATAATTTTTATTGTAACTATTTCCATTTCTGTTGGTTTAGAACGTTCTAATATAAGATCTATAAAAAAAAATATAACTTTAATTTATAAATCAATAATCAATAACATTTTGAGATACAAATAGAATATAATATTTTATTTTTATAATTGTTATATGTTTATAAAAGGCTTATAGTCTTAGAAACTATTGAACCAACTGGCATCAAATTTTGCATGTATATTATTTGAGATTTAAGGAATATTTTTGCTTTGATTTTAATCCATATAGGTTGTTTATACATAAATTTAATTTTCCTCAAAAATTAAATATTGTTTTTATTTATAATTAGATATATTATTGGTTATAGAAATAACATTTTAAAAACAAATTAATATAACCTAGACAACCTGTCATACATTGCGATTACGGGTTATTTTTTTAAATAAAAGAAAATAATATTTAATTAATTGTTTGTTATTCAAATAAACAAAAAAAGACAATATCTACATGTTTGTAGTTCTCAGACTCAAACATTTTAAGATTAATTTTGACAAAAATTTCAAAGATTACTATTAGATACTAGGAATATTAGTTTAGAGAGTAGTTCAAACCATAATTAAATTATTTCAAAAAGTAAGATAGATGGATACTAAAATATTGAACTACGGATTTAACATGATAATGTTTGATCATTTTTTTCCAGACAAAATTTCGTTGCACAGATAACTATCTGTATAAACTAAATCTAAAATAAACCACAATAGATATTATTTTAGAGTACAATTAGTCTATGGCCAATTAATTTTTTTTCAGCATAATTAATTTAAAAAATAAAAATAACATATAATATTAATAATAAACATAATGTATGAGCAGTTCAGGCATATTTTTAAATAGGCTAAGATATAGTATGAATTTTAAATGTTATAAATTATGATAAAATAATAACTATTTTTAACAAACTGTTCTGAAATATATAATTATCTACATTCTTTAATATTAAATAATTAAATAATAAAACTATGACAAGGGCTAATTAAATCATTCACTTATGAAGTAATTCATTTAAAAGACACAATTATCATATTAAATTTTAAAAATGAAATCTATTTTTCATAAATAACAAGAAAAAAAGTTTAAAATATAATTATAAAATATTTAGATAATTGAATTGAAAATTATGCATTTGAACCTTAATTTATTTGTAAATTAGTATTGTCTCACATCAAATATAAAAACTAATGATAATTAACTATAAAAACTTACTATTTCCAAGATAAAGTATAATGTAGGCATGAAAAATTTCACACGCAGTAAATCGAATTTGACGATTGCTGCAATATTGGCATAACTCTAAAATTCTAGGAAGAAGATGATCTAAACAAATTAAATTATATAAATAACTCTTAATAGATGTTATTAATAGGTATTTAATGTCTATACTCCAGCTCATGAGAGAACATACCAGAGAGCGGTAATAAAAATCTCTAAAAACTCACAAATTTCACATACTTATAATGCTGGAGTATAGTAGTTCTATTATGTCTTAACAACATGACTCACCAAAAGAAATGTTTATTTTACAATCATTAAATGATAATTGGTAATTTATTATATTGCGTGGATAGTTTATAATTTTATCCGGATCTCCCAGAAGTTTTAAACAAGTAGACATATCCAATTGAGCTATATATTCAAGAATTTGAATCTGTACAATTTCTAGTTCAGTTTCCGGTTTCATAATTAGTTTATTCTGTTTAAGTAATGTTCTTTTTTTATTATCTTGTATTTGCATTTTATCTAGTATTAAATTATTTAACTCAACTTCATTGTCATATCCTAAAAATAAATGTATTATGATAAATATATTATGTTTACCACAAGACATGTAAATTAATTTGTCATTTTATAGAATACTAATAAGACAAAACGGCAGTTTCTTAAAATTATGAAATAGCATATTTAGGATTAAAATCAAACCTTTAGTCCTAAGTAATAAATCAAGATATGGCATAATGCATTTTAAAAGTTGATCCATTTCATTCTTTGATAAATCTTGTTGCCATGTTTTAAGAGCACTTACAGCAGTTTTTGCCAAAGGTAGAAATGTCGAACCCACTATTAGTGTAGACTTAAAAAAAGTTATAAAAACATAATATTATACATTTATTTGTGATTTTTTGATTTATTATTTAAAATAAAATTACTTTTACAACTTCCACTATCTGAGTGTTAAATATTTCTTTAATAATAACTGAAGGTAAATTCATTAACATTTTAAGACAGCAATACTGCAAATCTCCTTTAAATGTATTTATATATACCATTACACAATTCACATATTCTATAATGTTTTCCTTAATAGTATTATTGTTAGTTTCCTCTAAAAATTTGCACCAATCTAGCTCTTGAAAAATAACAGTTAATATCCTATACAATGAACTAATAGTTGGATATTCAATAGAATGGTTGATAATAACATTAAGAGTATAAGGCAACCATGAAAATGCAGATTCAATATCAAGCTCAAGATTATGCAATACATCACTGTAAATTTCAACTAAATTAACCAAAGCTGTAATATCTGAAGGTTTTCTGGCAATATATTCAACTTCCAACTAAAAAATAATATTAGATGAAACATTAATAAATATAGATAGAGTTAAAATTGAAATGTTATATACTTCATCTGAAGATTTATTTGTAAATAAATCTAATTTTCTTATTATTTTTAAAACACTGGACATAAAACTACACATAAGTGATTTTTCTAGTATGGATTTTACTATTATTGGTATATCTGTAAAAATCATATGAATAAATTTTTTTTCAAAATCTTTTATAAAATAATTATATTGCTAAGAAATTTTAATCAATCAACATTTTTTGTTTAAAAAAAATGTTCAAATTTTGCTATGTTTGACAAAAAAATAAATATATCATTCAAAATATAATTATATAAACAAACATGATTGATACCTACTACCTAGTCCATAAAGTTAAATAAAAGTATAATTAAAAAATGTATTTTATTTCAACGAAATAGACTGATTTTGGAAATTCTAATCTTCTATATATTTAATATAATAATGAAAAAATATCATTCCAAAATTACAAGGCTTTTTTAAACGTTCAATAAAAATATAGAATAAATTCCTGATCAAATAAAAACTATGTTTTAGTTTAGAATTATTTTCAATATTAAAAGCAGTTAGTAATAAGTAATAACTAAGCATAATTTATATAAATGTATTTAAATTAAGTCGAATATTTTTATAAACAATTTACAATTTAAGGCTACTAGTATTTAGGTAAAATAAATATTGATACAGTATTTAACTTTTTTGTAACTAATAACAATAAATATGTTAATTTTTAATTTACAGTTAAGTAGAGATAATGACTAATTTTAAATTTATTTTATGTAATCAAGAAATTTAAAAACTATGAGGTAAGAAAAAATAGGAAATCACAAGAATAACTTAGATAAGCCTTTGTATAAATACATTATTTACAAGAAATTTAATATTTATTGATAAAATTATTCTCACTAACATGATTTTTATTTATGATTAAAACTATTAATCATCAAATTAAAAATTTTAATTAATACTTAAATTTAAAAAAGCAGTTGCTAACTAACTTTAGTTATTTATAAAAATTAAAAAAAAGTATATGTTAGATTTTTTATTGTAAGATAAATACTATACTTTTTTCAATTGAATCTCTATTTGTAAAGTATAAGATGAAAAATTTCTTACTTAAATATAAATCGAATAAATGACATTGGTGTGCTTTTAATAGAGATATCCATAGTGAAACATAATTAGTACTTTTAATTAATACATGCCCAGTACATTCTTCTACTATTTCAGCATCAATAGCTGCACGATGTGAACAAGATTTTATTAATCCTACATAAACTATAAAAATAAATTATTTTTTATTAATAATGAATTAAAGGAGTGTATATATATAAAGAAATACAATAAATTTACATAATTGTTTTAAGTACTGATCTAAAATTTTTTCATGCGATAATGCTATACAGTATATAGAAATAATTATAGCATTACTAATATTGTCTTGCCATTCAGATTTTGACTGAGCAAATATAAAATCGTTAAAACAATAAATGCTTAATTTTTGAATAAATAAAAATTGATCGGTGTTTAGAGATTTAATATTTCTTATAATCAGTGATAATGAATTTAAATAATTAGCTGCGTTTGGATCATAGGTACTTTTTCCAATTTGACAACTAAGAAAAAATAAATTAGAGTAATTAAATGATCATAAATAGTTGGAATAAAAAATATACTTTAAATATTTTTCTTCAGCTTTTAGAGACAAAATAGTAAATATTTCAATTAAATGTTCTTCTCCCAAAAGATTATTACATGGTTCAGCTAACCAACCAATACTTCTTACTACTGCTGCATGTTCTTGATAATTTAACTTGAGATCACATAACTTTAATTTTAAAAACTTAATCATATTCTAAAAAATAAAAACAAGAATAAATTTAAAGAGTTTAAAGAGTACATTATAGTGGAATAAAATAATATAAATTTGTTTAAAATATAATTTATACAAATTACATTATTATTAATTTATACTTTTATTATTTCTTGTTGAATACTTGATCCAGTATTTATATTATGCTTTGAAAATTCTATTGAAGCCCCTTTATAAAGAATTTCAAACGAAAATAATCCAATTTTTTTATCTTCTATATTTGGCAATAAACTCCAATCCCAAAGCTTTTTTTGAAACCACATAATTTCAGTTAAATTTTTAAATAATAACTTTAAAAATAATTGAATGTGTTTTTGAAATAAATTTAGACCAGCTGAAATTAATATATTGTTTTTATATAGTAGTTATAGCAAGTAATAGATTTAATTTATTATTAATACTTATAAATAATTATAATTAGTATCATACTTCGATTAATAACATGTCTTTTATTTTCTTCAACAATTCCAATCAATTTTTTTAATATTTCATACAAACGTAGACAATAATCATGAGTTTTAATATGGTCTGCAAAATTATTTAAAAATCCTGTCAATCCATTTAAACATCCTATAGCCACAGGAGGTAAAAACTTTTTTAAATTTGTCTCTCTTATATCTATCTGCAAAGTTACACATTATAATATTTTTTCAGTGGAATAATAGTGATAAAAATAATAATAACTTGATTTTGGAGTTCATAACAAAAGAGATTCATAAGTTTATCTTCATAATTTTTTAGGTACATAGGATGATGTTGAGCAATTACACCAAATAGATTATATATATGCTGGCGAGCTAAAAATTATTAATATATCATTATTATTTAAAATTTAATTGGATAAAAAAAATTACCTGTAGGGGGTATTTTGTCACCTAACGAAACTTGATTATCTAAGTGTTCAACTATTTTATTGATTTCAATTTGATCACTGAAATGTTTTATTTCTAATAGTTTTTCATATATTTGATAAGTTCTTATACTTAAGTCTGCATTTTTTTTTGAAGTTATGATGGATAGATTACATAAATTCTAAAATAAACATGTTATTATTTAATATTATTTTTTAAATTCACAACTATTAACTAAATTATTTAAAAAAACATAACAAACAATGGAGTCCACTAATATAGACATATAATATATGCATCTATTTTTTTATAATTAATTGAATTAGGTATATTTGTATTTACCATTATTGGTCTGATATAATTAACAACATATATAGGAAATAACTCAATTAACTGTTGAAATAAGAACAGAATATCAGCTGTAACCATTTTAGTATTTGTTGAATCTAAGCTGATTATTGATTTTGCAAAACGTATAATTCCTTTATCATCCGCAAATAAAATTTTGAGAGCTAACTCTAAACATAGATAAATACATTTTATAAACAAGATTTTATTAATTGCATGTATACCTTATTAATATTAATAGTTATTAGATGGTAGTTTTATCAAGTAGATACTGAATTCAAATAAAAGAAAAAAAATGTTGAATATACTTATAAGGAGAGTTTATTCATACTTAAGATTAAGTACAGAGTTAAGGAGTCAGTCAATTTTAGTTATAGGTTACTGCAACAAAATTACTATTTTAATAATTTAATAGTAATTTAATTATTTTTACTGTGAGTAATTTATGCAGTTAAAATTAAATTATATATATTTTTTTAACATATTTCAAGAACCAAATGATAATAAGTAAATATATCAAATATAAGTACAAATTTTTACTTGTAACATTTATATAATGGATATTTAAAAAAAATTTTAAATCAAAATTTGAATCAACCTAAATACTTGATGATTTTTTTATAATTAATAGTTGTTAACTATCATTAAAATGATAATCAACCTTTTAAAAACTGTACTGTTAAGACAATAGTTGTGCTCTCCCTGTAAAATTCATATTGTAGATATTTTAATAAATCACCAGATTCAATAGATGTGATATCACTTTTGAAATACTGATTTATCTGAAAAATGCGCTGTTGAGCAGCTAGAACATCCAAATTACTACCATTTTGTGCAATATCTGTGTGTAGTGCACACAAACATAATTTAATGGTAGACATTCTGTATAAAATACTTGTACAAATTATAAATATGTCCCAAAAATGTTTCACATATAACACTTATGAATGTCAAAAAATCATAATGTTGTTAGGTTTACTTTGTATTCTGCAAAATAAAAAGAAGGAAACAAGGTTTTTGTAATATATTTTAAATAACAAAACTATTATAATAATACTATAAGTTAAAAACTAATTATATCATATATTTTATGAAATTTAAAAACATATTCATATTATTTAGTAACTTCATATGATTTTGTCTATAAGCAAAATATTATGAATGTAATATTTAAGTTGCATCATATATCATAAATATTAAATAGAGTGAATTTATTGAAATAACATAATTGGTGCAATTAATTAATACTTGGCAAATTACCTATACAAATATCAGAACATATGATAATTTAACATATTCAACACATTTTGTAGGTATACCGTATGCATAATGTAAATTTTACATTTGACAAAGCTCATAGTTACCACATGGCATAAGCAGCTAGTTTTATAATTTATAAATGAAACAAAATATACATGGAAATATGTTATCTAATAAAAATTATTCAAACGTCTCAAAAAAATTAAAATGTTTATCATAATAAATATTAGTAAATAGTAATAAAAAATAAAAAGCTAGCTAAATTAATAAAATTTTAAGTTAGATTTTAATGCGAATAAGAAATACTACTTGGGTGTTTGGTTTTAGGAGCTCTTTAACTATTGAGTTCATGCTTCATTAATTAAATCTATAAAAACTGAAGAAACTAGGCAAGAACTATTCAATAAACTTAAAATGTTAGAAGAACGTACAACAGAAATAGAATTACGTGCATCATGTACAATTCACGTCGCCACAGTAAACACTAAACATTAACTACACTATTACAACAGACTACAGATAACAGTAAAAGGAAAATGGTTGTCAGTACACAGTGACCACTTGTTGAATATCGCAACAAATTAATGTAACCAGAGGAAAAAAGTACTCACAAGTCACAACTTACAAGAGTCGGTTACATACTTACACAAAGGTTATCCTTATCAATATCCATAGTGATTAGTGGCATAATTACATAAGCTAAAATGTGGCGCAACCTGGCAACCATATAATATTTAAAAGTGTGCTATCGCCTCTTACACATAGAGTATAATGTTTTCTAAGAACAAGAACAAAAATACTATGCAGTATGCAGGAATTTTTATCATGGAATAAAAATTATTTTTATTTTTATCAACTTCTTTATGAAAAAATTATAATCTGGCGACTGCAGTACAGTAGACTGCACTAAAAACTTAAAAATAAAATATATAAATTATAAATTATAATATCAAGTATATAAATATATTAGTTTGGTATTGTCGCCTGTCGGTATTGAAATTTAAAACCTTGTTGTTATTGAAAAAAATTCAATCGGAAATTCATTCTTATTGAATGATGAAAGTTTGTAGATTTATTTTTATTAAATCGTATTACTTTGGTGCATTTAAAACGTTACCAGTTTAAAATATAGGTATTATGAAACCGAAGACAAATTTGCTTGGTAACGTAATTTTGTTGAAAATATATATAATTATTAATTATTATAATTTATAAGTTACTATAATGGTTACTATTTCAAACAAATACTAATTTTTAATAGCTAATACTAAAAAATCTGACAAAATGATATTGACCAATGGTTTATTTTCCTAGTACCACATGATTTTTAGGTACATTTTTTTTACTACGAATAGAATACTTTTTTAAGAAAATAATTTTTTGACAAAATATAATAAAAACTAGCCGACCCGGCACAGCTTCGCCCGTGATTGGTTGTTTATTTTGCCTTCGAACCATGATATGTAGAATTTTTTATTCAAATATTATTGTTTGATGTGATCGGCAAGTAAATATAAAAAAAACGGTTTATGAAAACGGATTGAAATTTTTCTAGCGTTATAAATGATAAAAATAAATACAGATAAAAAAGAAATAATTTATGGTTGATAAAGAATTTTATTGAAGTTGATGAAGAAAAAAAAAGAAAAAAAAGAATTAAAATAAGAATTTTATAAGACTTCTAAGTATATGATGTTTTTTGTTATATTTCCTGTTGAAATTAAAATCATAAGATGATTCGGGTCCCCAGTTCGAGAAAATGCCACGTATAATTGGCCATGTGAAAAGCACTCTGTACGAAGATCTACGCCAACGTACTTGAATGTTTGTCCTTGCGCTTTGTTTATGGTAATGGCAAAAGAAACTTTAACCGGGAATTGAAGCTGTTTGAAAGAAAACGGCAAGTCAGAGGGAATCATGGGAATTCTTGGAATAAATGCAATTTCTTCTTTCGCTGACCCTGTAAGAATTACGGCTTCTATAATATTATTTCGCAACGATTTTATTTGTAATCTTGTACCGTTACATAAGTTCGGTGGTTGAAGATTACGTAATAATGTAATTGGAGCACCAATTTTTAATTTTAGCTTATGAGGAGGAGATCCTGAAGGAGAAAGAGAATTGAGAAATTCTTGTGGATAATGAATAGCATCATCTGTTGATGTAACTGTATCAATAGATAGATATTCACGTGAGTGTCCATCGAATTTTAAAAGGATAATATCATTAATTTCTCCTGCTGTTACATTTCTCGGAGAGATAATAGCTCTTTCAAATAACCACTGATAAGATTTATTGGACAGATTTAAAATGTCAGGATAAACTGTAGAAAACAACTCTTCCACGTTATTGACCACCCGTCCGATCGTGTGATTGACAGAAATGTAACCATTTTCATTTTCTAAAGTTCCGTTTCCAATTTTCAACAACTGTGCTGGAAAAATATCGCCCCCTCCGCATAAATAAACTCTCATGTTTGTTCGCAAATAAAGTTTTCAACATAGTTCCATATAGGGGAAGATTTTAAGCAAGCATTAACGACATCAGCTCGAGTACCTTTATCATCATAATTATGTTGCGGAATCTAAATCCTCCTAAATTGTGTAATGGTACACGATTGTCCATCAAGAAACTGATGAACAATGTAATACAATCAACGATCATCAAGGGCAATTTCAAAGGGGAGGAAGTCCTTATCCCACGAATTCCGACCATTCCAACAGATCTTTCATTTCAGTTTAAGCGGATTCAGTTTCCTGTTAGATTGGCTTTTGCGATGACAATCAATAAATCGCAATGCCAATCGTTGGAAGTCTGTGGGATCAATTTGAAATTTCCATGTTTTTCGTACGGGCAGCTGTACGTTGCCAGTTCGCGTGTTGGAAAACCGTCTTCGTTGTTTATTTTTGCACCAGAAAACAAAACGAAAACATTGTTTATCAAAATGCAATATATTGATTTCTGTAACAATTCATTACAATGGAATACTTGAATTTTATTATCAATCTAGATTTTATTTGAAGGCGTTAAGTTAACCGGGTCAACTTAATTTAAAAAAAAAAATATTAAGCAAAACAACGTTTGCCTGGTCAGCTAGTTATTTATATTATATTTATATTTATATTTTTATCTGCTAGAGGGCGCCACCGGTGTAACTCAGTTTTTGTCTCTAAATCTCTAACTCACAGGAGTTAGGTCCATAATTTATGCTATAAACCCGCTCCCCGACATTCTCTATCATTTAAAAAAAATTTCAGCCAAATTGGTTCAGTAGTTTTCTCGGTTAGCACGGTCTAAGAAAAACCCTTACAATTTTATATATAGTATAGATTAATACATTTCAAAATAAATACAATTCAAAAAAATATTTTCCTAAATTATTAACTCCAGAGTATATCTGTACATGAGTAATAACAGAATAAGTATATAGGTACCTAGTAATAATGATTATAAGATATGAAAATTTAAAGTGTGGAATCTACATTTATGATTGATTTTAAAAAAGTTTAAGGTAATATTACAAGTTTTAACCAATCATAATAAGCAATTTATCCTATTTAAAAATACACTATACGCTTCAACAACTGAAAAAGTTTTTTTTTCCCAAAATCAGTTTTCTATTCACATAATCCACGATTATGTTCTCTTCAAATTTCACGTTTCACATTTTATTTGACCATTTTTCAAACCTAAAAGTATTGAACATAATTATTTAGTTACGCAATTTATACACAGTTTTTTTTGATAGATATTGTCGTTGATCGTTGCGATATAAAATTTGATAATGCATCTAGTGTATTATCTAAAGTTCTAAAAATAATATTTATCAAATATATATATGTATTATGATTAATGAAATAAAAATAAAATATTTTAATACTTGTATTTAATACCTACTGTACAGTACATTAAATTAATAAGTTATTTTTATTGAAATATTAAGTAGGTATTGTTAATGCCCCTTATAATAAATTGTCCCTAAAACATAACGTATACGGCGACGATCACCAGTACCGGATCTAACATTTTTTTAACCCGGGGCAAAATATGAAATTGGCGCCCTTTTATATCAATAACCTTAGAAATTTGTGCCCCTTTATGAATAGTATCCGAGACACATGCCCCGAATTTCCCCCCCCCCCCAAGATCCGGTGATGACGATCACCAAAATCTCTTTTTACAGTTCTCCGCACAACGAACATCGACATATTATCTCCTCCGGACAGTATAAAACCACGCTATCTGAAGGAGTTTACACTACTTACTAGTTTTGTTGTTTATCACCTAAATATACCTTAGATATCTACCCATCTTAATATCACTCAATGCCATTTGAAAAAAATTATGGAGAAAAGAAAACAATAATTGAAAATATTTAAAGCAGATAGATATAGGTAATAACTTATAAATTAATTTATACTTACATCAGTTACATCAATGGTTATCAAAATAGTAACAAAATAAGTAGGTTTTAATTAAATCAATCTTAATGATTGATTTTAAAATAACATTATTATTAATAATAATCTGAAAGACTGAACGCATCAGTATAATGGTATTTTTCTAGTAGAAAAAATGTTTTGATTTTCAATTAGGTACAATATTTTTCCTTTTAGAAAGATGAATCTAGTTCAACGTATCTTCAACGCTCTACTATACATTTATCTCCAATCAAACATCAAACAGTGGCAGGGAGATATAAGATTATTTAAAGCAATTTCTTCATGTATGAAAGCCCTTTGGCTACTGCTACTTATTAAGGGTGGTGGTAAAAATATTTAAAATATACAATATGCTTCAAAGCCTCCATAATTTCGCGCCGCCACTACAATCAAACACTACGTAACGATATTAATATGAAATCCATCGATAAAGAAGCATGATTCTATTATACACGCTTTCACAAGAAAATTCAAAATCATTCCAGCATTATCAGAGAATTTACATCGTAAGTTAAAAAGAACGCGGTTTCATGATTTACTTCAAATTTAACCCATATCCCTAAACGTTTTGAAATAAACAATAATGTTAATGAAAAAAAAAAAGAATCAAGATAAATGTCGCTCAAGAGCGACTGCTTAATCCTTAATCATACCCTTTAGTACAAAAGTTTATTGTGCATCTTATGTATAAATTGTTAATTTCAAATAAAAATATAAAAAAAATAATTTTTATTTATTATATTATGATTTACGATGTAGATACTATTAGTAAATAATAATAATAATTATTATTTAACATTATAAATAGTTAGTTATAGTATAGGTATTAGATTATAAAATTAATATTGTTTTAAATTAGAAAAAAATCGTGTTAATTCTATGATTATAACGTTTATAAAGTGCGTGTCACTGAAATGGTGAAATCAGAAATAGATATAATTAATAACTATTTACTATATTGTAAAAGGATCTTTTAAGTCTATGTTATCACATTGGTGACGTGACGTCATTGGTTATGTCTGTACCTTGGGTTTTTTATTACATATTTTGAGTTTACGACGATTTTGATGATTACGTTTATTAAAATCTATTGTGTATTTGACTATTTGTGTTAAAAATCGTATTTCGCGTTCGTGTCGTGAACCGACTGGACATATGACGTTTTGACGTTATCGCCGTGAAACAAACCGAAAATATTGTTATTAAAAAACAACGGATAGTTTTAGTCTTATCGTAGTTGTGGAATATGGGTTAGTACTTAGTATTCAAATTCGATCGAATTATCGGCCGTAATACAATCTGAATTATTGTTAATTTATAAACCGTTCGTCGTTTAAGAGTTGAACCGTTTTATGGTCGATGTTACTTACGTTATTACATTAATTGCTCGTACCTCATAGCTCAGTTGGCACTGGGTAGCGACCAAAAATGGCAGGTAAGCGTTGTACCATTCTTTTACTATTGGGTACTGTACGTTTTGTTCGTGAAATCGGTACACAGTGGTAAAAGTGAGCTTTTCCCTTGCATACAATTGTATGATTATATACATCATCATTATTATTATTATTATTATTATTGTCTATTATCATTATATTTACGTAATGAAGGTATTTTCAATATTGTTTAATATGTTATTAAATTATAAATTATTTCATATTTTATACTTAACACATTACGACCCTATGATCTTAATACATTTTATAATTATTTGTATGCAAGTGTCAACTTTTGATGCTTGTCCCAAATCTTTATTCTATTTGTATAGGCAAACTGAGTTTTAGGGTGGCAGGGTGTCATATTTTACTAGTGTTATATGGATGTTTATGGGTGACGATTTCATAATTCCTCTATTATATTGTGTTAACTATTAAAAATATATCGGTTATGTTATTTTATCCATTTTTATTTATTTTATGAACATAAATTGAATTGAAGTATATTACTCTATTTTGTGTTAATTTACATTTGCAAAATATACATGAATATATACTATGTAGTATAAAAAACAAAAACAAATTTATTATTGGACTATAAGAATATGCTTTTAAAAATAATAGTTAATTTCTATGAGTTTCTTATAAAAATTAACTTTTCTTTACAAGACATCCATTGTCTATCTTCATTAGTTAATTAAAATTTAAAATCTATTGATTATTAATTGAGTCTTTAAGCCAGTAGTATGAATTAGTTTAGGTTAGTTAGGTAAGTTATTTCATATACAACATTCATAATATACTATTTAATATGTTAACGTTTGAATACACTTGACATAATTGTAATTCATGAAATAAACATACATAGAATGTGCTGTTTTGTCCACAGTATCTGTATGTTGATATTTCATTTAATATTAATATCAATATAGACTTCTAATAGTTAATTATTTATTTAAAAATAATTTATATTTTTTCAAAAATACACCTATTAAGATCAATCATAACTATTTATTGAAGTTGATAAATAGGTTTTAAATATGATTTTTATTTCATTGTCTAGACCATAATTATTGTGATAATGAGAATGTATTAAAATTCACTGAACCATCTATTAGTGACAATTATGAATCAAAATGTATAATATCCATGTCAGATGATCCTGAGTATGGAGAAGTACCTAAATCTGGCCCTCAAACAAAGCTTAAATCAAAAATAAAATCGGAACAATCTCATTCCACTTGGTCACCAGTTCGCACTGCTCCAGGTTTACGACCAAATTGCACAATATTTTATGATGGAAATGGATTTGCCTACCACAACCATAAAATTGCAAATAACAAAAAGTAATAATAATGTAATAGTGTTCAAATAAATTGAATTTTGTTTTATTTTAAATATTTTTATACAGGTATTTAAAATGTACACAAAAAAGTATTAAAAAGAAACCATGTCCAGCTAGAGCAGTTATTAGAAATCATGACAACATGATTCGCCATTCAGGAGAACCGCACACACATAAACCAAGAAACTATGATGAAGATTTATTAAAAAGAAACTTTTTGATGACAATTAGAGAAAGAGCAATCAATGAAAACACACCTAATAGAGCAATTTTTGATGAAGAAATAAAAAAGTTAGTTTACTTTATCATAAATTGTTAATATAATAATAATGAATTATTAAATTTTTAATAGAACACCAAAACTAAGAGGTAAAGTTACCTTTTCGAGTACTGCAAGAAGGATGCAGAGATTTCGTCAACCACAAAAAATGCAAGGTCCATTATTTCCTATAGAAGATAATGAACTCATTGATGCAATAAATGATTTTAAAAATATTCCTCTTGAAGAAAGTTCTGCTAATAAAGATAGTACTATTAATAAAGAGAGTACTACTAATGAAGAGAGTACTATTAATGAAGAGAGTCCTATTAATGAAGAGAGTCCTATTAATGAA